TTTCTACGTTGATATATGTATCGACGTTGACATAACGGACGCAACAGTTACTTCAAATCTTCAGACATTAGATATACAGTTCTTCGACTTACCTAACAACTGTTACTTCTCTGCAAACGATGTCCTCCTCAAGCTTAATACTTTAGGAAATGTGTCTTCTACTGGACCCGATGGAATACCTGGTGATTTCCTCTACAGAACGAGGTTCATTATTTTCTATCCTCTTTGGACCCTATTTCGAAGATCCCTCGATGATATTATTTTTCCTGACATGTGGAAAATTGGTTCTATTACTCCCATTTTAAAATCTGGTTGCCGTTCGTTAGTCACTAATTACAGACCAATTTCTATTTTAGGACATATTTCCAAGCGCTTTGAGTCATAAGTCTTAGACGCAATTCAGCCTTCAGTTAACTTGATCTTAGCCAATGAACAGCACGGTTTCCGTCAGACAGATCAACGGTTACTTGTAACCTTGTTTTCTGCAATTATATATTCGGATCTTTTTAAAATGGAACACAGGTTGATGTCATTTATACCGACTTTGCTAAGGCGTTTGACTCCGTTAACCATGAGGTTCTAGTCTCTGTTCTTCGTGCTACTGGATTTGGGGATCCTATCCTATCCTATCTTGGTTCAATGTATTTTTAGTAAATAGATCTCAATGGGTTAATTTGTTCAACACTAACTCTGACACATTTTTATTTCCATCAGGCGTTCCTCAGAGGGTCATCTATCACTTCTTCTATCCTCTTTGTTTGTTAACAGTGCTAGCTCCTCTCTCAAACATAGCAAACTTCTTTGTTTTCTCGACGATATGAAGATTTTCCTCGAAATTAATTCTGTCGATGATTGTCACAAACTCCAGGATGATTTAAATAGTTTATCCGCATGGGCTGAATCTCTCGGTCTCGCATTAAATATTGGAAAGTGCCGGTCAATGACATTCACAATAAGTCGCTCTCTTATTACACATCTTTACTCATTGAATGGCTCTAATTTGATTCCAGCTGACTCTAGCATCTGTGATCTCGGTTTTACTTTTACTCTATCTCTTTGTCCTAGAGCTCACATAGACAGAGTTACATGCAAAGCCCTTAAGGTATTGGGTTTCGTCAAAAGAATATCTAGTGACTTTAAGCTCTCCGCTTCTCTCAAAGCAATATATTGTGCACTTGTACGTCCAATCGTAGAATACGGCTCAGTTGTATGGGATCCCCAGACAAGTGATGCTTGTCTTCAACTAGAACGAAATCAGCGAAAATTTTTATGTTACATGAAACATTCTCTTAACGTAAACTGCACCCCTCACGATTACACTCCCCTTCTCAGTTTGCTTAACTTATCCTCCCTAGCTGACCGTCGTCGCTTCAATAATCTCTCCTTCCTTAACAGGCTCGGTCGATTCCCCATCCCTTCTTTCTCTCATTAAATTTAGAGTTCCTTTAGGTCCACCCGAAATAATCATCCTTTCTTAATTCCCTTCTGCACTAGAAACTATCTAAAAAATGAACCTATTACGAGAATAATGAAATTGGCCAATGAGGATCCGTTGTTCCTTTAATAGTTTACTTTTGTTTTCATTGTTTAGTTTAATTTTTAAGGCTTATACTTTGTTATTATTCATGTTATGTTATTGTTTGATTGTATTGTACACCTAATTATTTAACCTGGGCTCACGCCCGTTAATTCAATAAATAAATAAATAAATAAATGTATATTATAATTTATATAAGAATGAATACTCTTTTATTTAGTTGCTATATTGTAAACCAAGGGTGCCCAATTTATTATGGAAGCGGGCTATAATTGCAATTACATTTAGCTGGCGGGCCATGTTATGAACAAGACTTTCTAACACTTATAATTCATCTAAAATTATATTTTCAATAGATACTTAATTAGATAGGACAGATAGGTATTTAAATTAAACAACATTTTAAATTTCACATGTTTTAATTTTAATTTTTAACAATATATAAAAAAAAAACATCAGTGAGACCTATGAAGAGACTTATTAGCTAATATTTTTTCAATATCTGGTGATAAATCTGATGTTGATAACAACATCAAATCTGAAATATGAGGCGCAGTTAACAAACTACGATATTTATTTTTGACGTAAGTTAGAGTAGAAAAAGCTTTTTCACAAATATATATTGATCCAAATCTGCTTGAAATCTGCAAGGCAAGATCACACGTTGCAGGAAAGTTATCTTTTGATACTAATTTCCAAAATTTTAATAAATTTTCTGAAGACTGCAGCTTTGGTTGTGATGATACAATTTCGGTAAATATCTGCTTCAAGGAAACGTGGTTTTGAATTTCTGTGATTTTCAACTGGATATTGCATGAATATTTTTGTATTTCACTAAAAGTGATTGAAAATGGGTTTATGAAAAACAAAATGTTATTTTTGTCCTCAAAATCCTGAAATCTGTTATCAAAAGACTTCAACAATAATTGAATTTGTGTTTGATATTTCGAGATGTCAGGCAAAGTATTTTCTAGTTTTCCTCTTATATTTACAAGCGTAGGAAAATGATCGATATTATTTCTTGTCAAATTTTTTAAAAAGAAAGGGAGAGATTCGCTTTAAATCCGTAAACCAAATTGAACATTATTGGTAACGAACAGTCCTTCTCTTGCAGCTTCCGGTTAAGTATGTTGAGGTGCTATGTAATATCTATTAAAAAGGCAAGATCGCATAGCCATGATTCACTTTCAAGTAAATCTCGCTCATCAGGCATTGCCTGCTTTTCTACTAAAAATTGCAAGACCTCTCTTCTCAAAAGAAAAAAATGTTTCAGCATTTCACCCTTAGATAACCAGCGGACAGCACAATACAAATGTAACTCACCGAATCCATTGATTTCTTCAAATAAAACCCTGAATTATTTTCGATGAAGGGCTTCGGCTTGGATATAATTAATACAGCGTACTACAGGATCAATAACATCATTAAACTTCATATCTTTGGCACATAAAGTTTCCTGGTGGATGATACAATGACATGAAAATAATTCCCGACCTAAGAACTGTTTTAACAAGGCCACACAACCATTTATTTTTCCTGTCATAGCGGATGCTCCATCAGTACAAACAGAATTATTTTTTTCCCACACTATACCTTTTCTGTCGACACATTCCTTGATTTTCATAACTATGTCTCTTCCGATACTTGTAGTTTCCATCTGGCTGAGCTCTAATAAATCTTGTAACACATTAAAATTTTCATCACCACACCTCACGAAGATGGCTACCTCTGACATACTCGTCAAATCACAAGTTTCATCCAACGCCAATGAAAAATATTTACATTTTGTTACGGTTTGTGTTATTTGATTGCTAATATCGTTTGACATCTCTTCTACTCGTCTTGTTACAGTATTTCTCGAAAGTGAAATACCGTTTGCTTTAGTTTTTATATTTTTATCATTACAGTTTCTAGAAAAAATTGATAAAGCCTCTTTTATAATTTCCCGATCAGAAAAAGGCTTTTTATTTTTGGCTAAAAGTAAAGATATCTCATATGATGTTTTTACCATAGATTCGAGTTCATCAAATTTTTTTACAAACAGATTCTGCTGACCAAATATTTCTTTTTTTTTTCTTCTTTATAAACTCAGCTCTTAGAGAACTTCCTTCCGGGTAATTTTTATTAATACTTGAATAATTTTGTTTAAAATGCCGTTCTAAATTATATTTTTTGATGACGGCAATTGTAGTGGAGCAAATAAGACATATGGGCTTTAATGCTTTACTTTCGGTAAAGCAATATCGCATCTCCCATTCTTCGTGAAATGTCCGAAAACGATCTTTCAATTTCGACGTAATTGGTTTGCTGAGGGCCATACTGGTTCAAAATTAACAAGTAAAAACACAAAATAAACGTAATTGTTACAAAATAATTTAATATTTATTAAGTTATATGTATTATTATTACGACCGTAGCAAAAGCGGATGCGGAGCGACTGATTTTGGTCGCTATTTGTACAATACTTCGAATAACAATTTATTATCTTAACTCGCCGATATACGACGATTACGTTGACGGACGGTCACGATAATCTATAAACATAAAAATAATACCGATCAACATCGCGATAAATACGGGTTCGGGTAAAACGCATCCGGTCGTCACCGGAAAACCCGATAACATTGCTGTGTGGAATGATCCTAGTGCTAATTTGATACAAACACGAATACGTACGTTTCCACAACCCCCCCCCCCCCACCACTTTTATATTTTAAAAATTTTTTCATGCAACTATTTAGCATACAATTAGCATGAATTTGCACGATTATTTTTTGTAATTTGCACGATTTTAGATTGTGCGTAAAATCTAAAAATATCCATGGGAGGCTGAAGAAATATTTCACCAGCCCCGCCAAACATAAATAAAGACAAATCAAAATTAATTCCTGTGCCGATATTTATCACGCAATTAGCATGAATTTGCACGACTAGACACGGAATTCGCACGTCACTCCACCGCACTACAAATCGCATTTTTTTTTTTGCGCATTTCCCCAGCCCCCCACAAAACATAAATAATACGATTTTCAAACTTTTGAAGGTACCTAAAGTCGGTGGAAGTTTTTTTAGAAATAGCTATTAATTTCTACTATAGAGCAAAATTTTATAATTCGATTAATGATATAATTAAACAAAAATAATAATATTAGTACATTGACGAAACAGCTGCCACATTAAAAAACCTCCAAAGAATTAATTTTTGTTATATTATAATATTAAAATGGTTGGTCGAAAACCTGCACTACCACCTTCAATGGTGTGCGATGCAGTGTTAAAATTTAAAGACAAAGTAATTAGGGTAAACGAAATTGGTGAGAAAGGTAAGTAAATTATCAGATTATGTAAGATACAAACCATAATATTGTCATCGGATAAATAACCTCAATTTAAATGTATCTATCTATCTATCTATACTATATATAAAATTGTAAGGGTTTTTTCTTAGACCGCGCTAACCGAGAAAACTACTGAACCGATTTGGCTGAAATTTTTTTTTAAATTATAGAGAATGTCGGGGAGCGGATTTATAGCATAAATTAAGGACCTAACTCCTGTGAGTTAGAGATTTAGAGACAAAAACCGAGGTACGCCGGTGGCGCC